CAGAGAGAGAGAGAGAGACACAGAGAGACACAGAGAGAGAGAGAGAGAGACAGAGAGAGAGACACAGAGAGAGAGAGAGAGATACAGAGAGAGAGATACAGAGAGACAGACAGAGAGAAAGATACACACACAGAAACAGAGACACACTTGACATATACCTTACTATAACCATTATAACTAAATACCTAAACCTAATACTGACATGTGAATTGTCACATGTTCATCACATCTGTCCAGTCAACAGCAAATGAACTTATAGTTCACAACAAGTAAAGAGTTATTTAATCCTCTCACTGTGGACACAGTCTTTTATTTCAACTCTTAAAGAACTTTTCTCCTCGTATATACCTCACATTATTATATTATTTCAACATTTCAGTTGGTTTCATTTAAAATCTGTTTTGTCACTTCCTGTGAGTAACTGACATCAAATGTTTCCTTTGTATGAACTGAAAACATCTTTTCTCAGGACGAGAAACTTTATTAGAATTGCAGAGCACAGAGAACTGTTCTGGAGATGATTAAGTGGTTAGGAAAGGAGATGATTAATTGGTTAGGAAAGGAGATGATCTGGACTCAAGTGTTTTTCACACTGAACAACATCTTCATCTTATTTAATCTCTTTTTAGATTTTAAATCACTTTCTGCCTCTGTGAAAAATAAAGTGTGAACGTTCAGAGTAAACATGACACATTAAATAACACATGAATGTTTCTCAACAGGTCCAGGACATTTTCATCATCATAGTTTAAGGCTCATTATTCCTTCAAACAAAAAACTCAGAGTGTAAAACCCTCCGCTGTCTGAACCAATCAACATTTTAAATCTTTATTTAAACCAGAGGTGGTATGAGGATGGAAATGAGCTCGCTGGCTAGCCCTAGCACATTTACAGAAATGCTGAATCATGTTTCTAAATAAATACATTTCATGGTTCAGAATTCTGTCACCAAGTTGAATCTTTCTCTTCTGCAGTTTAACGTTTTTATAAAGTCAACTAAAACCTGCAGGAGAAACCAAGTATTACAGTTTCTACTGAGCTTCATTACCCAAAAGCTGTGAAACTGAGACTGAATAAGCCGACTCAAAGTCTCATACTGGAGCTTTCAACCCTTTGTTTTCTTCAGCAAAAGGAGCACAGTTAACGGAGCCTGTCCACTGTTCTGGGATCAGATAAACGCTTCGGTCAGTCTTTGTCAGGACGCCCCCACTCTGAGAACACACTGCCTTGCGGGGGCGCTACAATTCGGCCTTTTGTTTACATCATCTCCCAGGCGACAGGGCCTTGCCCACTCCACGAGGTCATCACATACACACATGACAAGGTTTGTTGACACTCACCATCGTGTCGGACTTCTGACATCACAGCTTCATCTTCAGTGGGTCATGGAGGTCACTCTGTCAGAGCCAATCAGAAAGCAGCATTAATGAACAGGTAGAGACTCACCTGTAGGACCCCCCCCCACCCCTGGATCAGAATACGCTTCAGTCCGGTTTCGTCACGGCACCGCCCCTGTGAACGGCCTGCTGAGGGCGGGGCTTCAATCGGCCTTTTATTTCATCACTTCCTTTCCTGAGCCACAGGTAGAAACACACCTGTCCTGGGATCAGAGAATCTTACCTGGGGGGTGGGGTCCACACAATGACTTCAGGTCTGTGCTTCTTGCTGAGGGGAACAAATAACATTGAACATTAAATTCTGTTTTAAACAGGCAATCAACAGAAACCGGATTAACTGATTCAACTCATTACTTAAAACCAATTTTAATCAAAAGTCAAAGGGTGCATTCGGAAAGTCCAAATCATCTCCTTTCCTAACCACTAGTCTCTGACCTCGATGGAATACACCACACGAACAAGGAAAGATGAAGAGCAGAAGCCATAAGGAGTTAGAAAAGGAGTAATGAAAGGAATTAGGAAAGAAGAACCACAGAGCGGAGAAAATCCAACCCCACTTATACTCTGCGTTTTAAAAATAACCTGATTTATAAAAAAAGATTTGCACAAATGTACGATACTCTGTGCTCTGACAGTTTTCTGTTTGAAATAGAAAGACACGTCATTGAAAATGAAAAGAATGAAATGTTGAAATATAATAATGTGAGGAATATACGACAGGAAAACCTTACATAAGGAGAAAAAAACAGCAGCATGAATGAACAGGTAGAGACTCACCTGAACTGGAACAGTTCTGATTTAAACTGGTTCGTATATATTTCTCACATTATTATATTATTAACATTTCAGTTGGTTTCATTTTCAATGTGTTTTGTTATTTAACCACTAAATCATATACTTTCCTAACTCCTTGGCGTTCCTGATGTTTCCTCTGCTAAAGGAGCTCAGTTAGGAAGCATTGAGGCTCCTTTGCTCATCATTCAGAGAACTGAACAGATCTTATTCTGAAACACTTCAGGTCATTTCACTTAGTTATGAAGGTTTCTAAGTAAAATGGACTATTTGAACACTTTCTCAAACAGGAAGTGAAAGTCTCCTGAAAATCAAATGTCACCATTACATTCTAACCCGGAAACAACCAAACAAACTGATCAGTTATTCATTTTTCTATTCTGTTAAATACAGGCTCGGTTCACCCGTGGTCCACGTGGTCCACATGACTCCAGCTGAGCACATCCTCCAGGGACCGGCTGGTCCAGGGCTGCAGGTTAGCATGTTAGCTTAGCTCAAGGGTCCAGTCCTTCGGTCAGTGAGAAAGCTTCCACTGTTAGCTTTAGCTTTAGCTTATCGTAAGAGTCTCAGACACTGTGCAGAGCACACGTTTTCTTCTTCTACACGAACACATCACAGCGGCGAACCGCCGCCATGATGTCTTCACACCACTGACCAATCACGACAAGGTTCTTGAAGAGCTCATTGACCAATCACAGCGCTTCTTCCTTAAACGTAATGGTGACGAGAGACCGGAAGAAGGTTGAGTTGTAGGAAGTGACGCCCATGACGTAAGTCGCCATCCGTCAATTAACCGAACGAAGAAGAAGCTGATCTTCGTGTTTTTGTCAGAACAAACATCGATGTAAAAGTGTTGAAACTTTGCATTTGATCTTTTAATCATGTTCTATTTGTGTATTTAACAGTGACATAAATATCAGAATTACAACAAACAGGTAAACTTCAGAGTTACCTGTGGACTCGATGAATTCACAAAATGTGCTCTTCATTTATTCGTTTTATTTCCTCTGTCGCCCCCTGGCGGCTCGTTTGTGTGAACATGTTGATTCGTAGTGAAGACGACAGATTGTGACTTAACTGACACATGAAGAATTATCAAACACTTTTATCACCAATGAAATGAACAAGGACAGTTTGTGTTCTCTCGTGTGATGATGAAGAGGAGGATGACGAGGTGATTCAAATCACGTGAATCATTGAACTGCGGCTGTTGTCTCCACCAATCAGCAGTTTCTGTCTGTGACATCACTGTCAGCTTTGACCCCTGTAATCAGTTCGTATGTTTATAATGAACATAAAGATGTTATTTACATCATGTTGTGGTCAGTTATGAGTTGAAGACGTTTGAAGGGACATTCACAAAAAGATTGTATTGTCTTAACAAGACGGAGGGACAATCTGAAAACATGACACCTCTGGGCGGCCTCTCATAAAAATGTATTAAAATAAATCTCCCACAGTTCACCTGGACTAATGATGTCCAGGTGAACAGCTGATCTGATTGGTCTGAGCTCAACACTGATTCGTGTAAATGATGACTTGATTTTGGTGTTTTTAGATTTTTATTATGAGTTTCTGATGTCATCACTCTGTTGACATCACAGTGTCTGTGATGTCGTCACTCTGAAAAAAAAAGATAGGACAACAAGATAAATTAATGATTTAATAGATTTCTCTCTTCAAAAGCTTTAATCAGACAGACAGGTAAAAGAGCCTACACAAACAAGAATTAAAAAAATAAAAATTAAAGTCCTGGTTCACATTCCATCTCCATGGCAACAGAAACAAAAACAAACATTAGCTCTATGAGCGTCTGCGTCCTCCCGCAGCTTCGAGTCCTGTTCAGCTCTGAGGTCAGAGGTCGCAGAGAGAGCATAGCGAGTGTGCGCCATGCCTGGCTGCTGACATCATCATCAACAGCCAATCAGAGAGCAGCTAGCGGCGGTACACTCCGAAGGCCACCAAGCTGAGGAAGATTGTAACTCCGACCAGTGAGGCGGTGGCCGGGGCGGTGAAGAACTGCCGGTACTGGATCTGACAGTACCACAGCACAGACAGCATGAGAGCCAGCAGCGGGACCATCAGGCTGCCTACGTTCAGAGCCACCGCCACCTGGTCAGCAGGCCGCGGCCCCCCCGCCGCCCCCCGTCCAGCATGCTGGGAGATGTGACAGTGCAGGACGCAGTTGTGGACGAGGTTCAGAGAGGCCAGAGTCTGAGCATCATCCTGAAGCAGCTGACCCTGATAGATTAACCGCACCTGCTGCTCCTGACCCGCAAAGTAGGTCCTGAAAGGTCAGAGGTCAACACATCACTGATCAGGTGACGCAACTTCACCGTCTCACTAAGAGCCAAAACCATGGTGGGTTCTCTCAGTCAACAGGTGTAGAACAGGAAAGGTGAAGGAACTACAGAACAGTCTGATTCTAGGTCCAGGTCTGAGTCGTGGTCTGAGTCGTGGTCTGAGTCGTGGTCTGAGTCCAGGTCTGAGTCCAGGTCTGAGTCCAGGTCGGAGAACTGTTCTGAGTCCAGATCTGAGTCCAGGTCTGAGAACTGGTCTGAGTCCAGGTCTGAGTCCAGGTCTGAGTCCAGGTCTGAGTCCAGGTCGGAGAACTGTTCTGAGTCCAGGTCGGAGAACTGTTCTGAGTCCAGATCTGAGTCCAGGTCTGAGAACTGGTCTGAGTCCAGGTCTGAGTCCAGGTCTGAGTCCAGGTCTGAGTCCAGGTCAATAGTAGCAACAGTAAACAATGTTTTAGTAGTGGTAGTATAGTAGTAGTTGCCATAGTTACCGTTTGATGTATCCAATGGTGTCCTGTGGTTTGACCTGAGCGGTTCTCTCTGTGTCGTTAAGAAACTTCAGTCTTACGACCATGTTCCTCTGAGAGGGTGGAGACTCCTCTCCTCCCCCTCTACTCCTCACACCATCGCCTCCGCCCTCCCCCCTCCCTCCAACTCGCTCCTCGCCCTTCTCTTCCTGAGGGGAGGCGGTAGTAGCGTCCGTCAGAGAACTGTCACTAACAGAACTTGAGGGTGATGATGAGGAGGTACTGGCGGTGGGGGGCGTGTCCTGGTGGATGGGTACGGTCCTCGGTGAGGGGGTGGGGTCTGCGGCTGAGGTGAACAGATGTTCTGGGGGATCGGAGGTCTGGGTGGAGATCCAGGCGAGCAGCAGCACCATGAGGAGCAGCAGGGAGCCAAACAGCAGCGTCACTTCGTCTCCTACGCCTTCAATCAGAGCCATCGCCCCCGGCAACGCCCGCTGGGGTCAACACAGTTTACACACCTGTACACAAGGGGCGGGGCTTAGCATCAACACCTCAGGGGGGCTGTGTACAAACTCACTCACTAATTACTGTAGCCTATAGTAACTTCTACAAGTTTTTATACCCCTATTGTGCACTCACTGTTTCCCACAATGCAACATGAAAAGTAGTCTACAACCAATGGTCACTAATCAAGTTATATGAACCATCATGCATTGCGCTTGCAGCAGAGAAATGAAAGGACAGAGAGCAGCATCAGCCCGATCATGTAAATATGAGCAGAGCAACAAGTTTATTTCTAAATTTGAGATGATGATCTTTCAACATGTAAAATAAAAAGTACATTTAAAATGTTTTATGGTATTTTCTACTGGCCAAAGTTATTGTTATTGTACGTCATAATACTACAACGACCTGAGAAAATGATCAGAGCAGTGGCTGAAAGTGTTTTTTTCTTTTTCTGATGAGCTCAGTTTATATTTCTCTGTAGAGAAGTTACTATATATGAAGTAGTGGTAGTAGTGGTAGAGTAGTGATTTCACCTCTTCAAACAGAAAGAAACAAACTTTACCCCCACCTGTGAACCTGTACCCACCTGTAAACACCTGTGAACCTGTACCCACCTGTGAACCTGTACCCACCTGTGCCATTCTGCTGTTTTGTGGTCCATCTTTTAAACATGGCCCATTGTCTGTGGCTCTGAGCTAAATATGACGTATTTTCCAAATAGGAGTTTATTTTATTGTGCAATTATAATATTAGTAAAATACCAATCAAACTGTGAAACTTCCTGAAGCAGATACTTTTGAATTGGTCTCTGCTATTTAAACACAACTTCTCTCCACAAAATGATTACGTCTGGAATAATAAGGACATTCTCTATTCACATAAATCTTTATTTCTTGAAAATCGGTTTAAAATAATATCACAATTTGATCTGAATGGCAGGTTATAGCCTCTCATTTCAGTCAAGGAGTATGTTATTGTATTTGATGCAATTCCTTCAGGAATAAGATGTTTCCTTAGAAGATAGAAACCAGAGATTGAACCCATCCTTCTTCTTTACAGATTGGGTTAGGGTTCTTCTCATGTACCTCTGTATTTCATGTGTCGATATGTTGTAGGTCTTCGATTCTGACTTTGATAAATACAATAAAAACAAAACAGAACAACTCGGATCTTATTTCGGGTAGTTCCGGGTCTGACTCGGATTATCTGCTATTGGATCAGTCCGGTTATTGGTGACAGCTCCACTTAAACCCGGGTCAGATCGAACCTGCTGAACCAAACTGATGACTTCAGAACCAAACTCTGAGCTAACTGTCAAACCGGACAAGAAGTTCGCTTAGCTACATGCTAACAGCTAACAGCTGGTTAACGACCGCTCGATCAGAGTCAGTTTGTAGATGAACAAGTTTAAATAAAGATCAAATCAAACTCACAGTTCAGGTGGTGGCGATCACATCACAGTTAGCCTGAAGCTAACCAGGCTAATCTGTCCCCTCACTTCCTGCTTCTTCTTCTTCTTCTTCTGAGCACACTGACGCTCTGCGACCCAATGCTGCCCCCTGCTGGTGTTCTGTTAATTTTCAGATAAGCACACTCACACAAACTGTCCGATTGATTGTTTGATTGATTGATTGATTGATCGATCAATTAATCGATCGATTCTGCAACATGACGCACGCGCAATAATCGTCCATTATCCAGCTCATCATGATGGAGAGAATGCACCGGATGTTTAAGGTTTGTCCTTCAAAATGAAAGATCAGTAAACAAATCGGCATCTGATTTAACCATAGACTGTATATAAAGAGGATTTAAAACACGACCTTAATTTTTATTTATTTAGTGACAATTTTTTTCTTTAAACCCCAAAATTGAACATTTATAAAATATCATTCATAGATAAAATGCAAATAAATCATGTGACTTTGATACAGTTACAATTAAATACAATTCATCGTCATTCTTCAGACTTCCGTGTTAGTTGACGCTGTGTGTGTGTGTGTGTGTGTGTGTGTTCATTGGATAAACCTCCTTTTTATATTAAATGTGTTTCATTGACTCAACTGGACTAAAGCCCCGCCCCTCCACAGACACACCTGTGGACACTTCCGGGAGACAGGTGTACCGATCACTTGATGTGTTGATTGATCGGTGATTGGATCTGTGGTCCCCTCCCCGGCTGTGGGGGAGGGGACCGCTGACAGTGAGCTCAGACCCGGCAGACGGTGCGCTGTCAGCGGGCGGGTCGCCATGTGGATGCGGCTCCTCTGTCGCCTCCAAGCCGCTGATCAGCAGCCACAGGCCGGGGAGGGAGAGCGCAGGAGACGGGACACCTTGGTTCCTCCTCTCGGGGCCTGGAGCCGCTCTCCTCCCCGGGTCCCCGGGTCCCGTGCTGAGTGTGAGCGGCGGTGGAGCATCTGGAGCCGGACTGTTAAATGTGTGTGAAGCTGCTGATTTGAGACATTTTGAATAAAAGCTGTTTGGTGTCTGTGAGTCTGTCGCGGCTCGGGCTCGGCTCTTAGCCCGGCTCTCAGCCGCTGTCTCTGGTTTCATCCTCCGCCTTTGTCCTCATGTTTTCCCCCGGAGTTCCTCCCCCTGCGGCGCTGGGCGGAGTTTCATACCGGACTAGACGCTCCTTCTGTCGGATTCGTTTCGACCTGACTCCCCGGGGTTTACGGCTGAAAAACACACACTTTGAAAGTCCTGAAATAATCCTAACGAGCACCGTGGTGTGCAGCGTGAACCCGGGTTTCTGTCTGAACCGGAAGGTGAGTAGTAAGTTGTGATTTTAAACAGATTTCTCGGGTTTTCTGCTCGTTTGTCCCCGAGTCTCCTGAACATTCATGGCGGCCTCGCAGTGAAGCTTGTTGGGCAGCAGCGACTCTTCCTCCCGCTGAGCGGCGGCTTCATCCGTCACATCGACGAGGTTTAACAATGAAAACACGAAGAACACGAATGAATGTGAAAACAGCACAATCGCTTTTTCATCATTTCACACTTTAGCTCAACAACTCGACTCCGCTGCTTCAATTCAACCGTTTTCTCTTTTTTCACTTTCACTCGTCTTTTCTCGTTAAATCAAACGTGACGTTAGCTCGTGCAGCTCGTGCAGCTCCCCTCGTGCCAGCGGAGCTCATTGCTGCCTCCTGCCGGAGGACAGACGCCATCACCGGGCAGCTGGAGGCCCGATGCTTCTCTTCATCGATCACAGTCGAGCTGATCAAATGTTCGAGCTGATCAAATGTTCGAGCTGATCAAATGTTCGATAACGAGTCACAGCGAATTCATACGAAGCTGAGACGAGTCGGTGCCACTGCTCTCTACCGCCCCCTGTGTTCAGTCAGAGAGCAGCTGCTACAAACAAACAGACTTAACACTCACCAAAGTAGCTAAACTAATCCTGACTCAAGTTAAGAAGTCCAGCTTGAATTTGAGCCTTAAGCCGGTCCACTAAAAAATTCATTTGGGTCTAATCAAGGCTGGTTCTAACCAGGCTTTAATAAGCCACACTTTAATAAACCACACCTATTAAGCCACACTTTAATAAGCCATGCTTTAATGAACCAGGCTTTAGTAAACCAGACTTTAAATAGCCCAGAATAATTGACTGTAGAAAAGAGGACAGAATGTCCCTGAAAGACAAAAAGCTGTGTGGTGTGTTTTCTGCAGCAGATCAAAAGATGATCATTGAGCTCCGTGAAGAATTCAAACTCATATTTACCAGAAAATGAAACGTGGTAATCAACAGGGCAAAGAGACGCCAGGACAGAAAGTCTCTGACTGAATGTGAGAGTTAGTGCACCAGAGGAGGATTATACGAGCACATGTGAAAAAATGAAGTGATGAGGAGGGAGTGACGCCACAGACAGAAGAGAAGATTCTTAGCACTGATCTCACAGACTCAGCTAAATGTCAGGATTAGCTTTAGAAGCTGCAGAATTGATTTCAAACTGTTTCACATGTGCTGTTAATCTTTCTCCACATTGTTTTCATTGAATAGATGAATTGTCAGATCACTAGAGTCAGACTGGAGATGAAGCTGTATCATATCAGATATGTTTGAAATCACTACATTTACTGTGAAGAGCCCTGAGCTGGTAGTTGTTAAATGATGAGCTAAAATGATTAAAGTGATAGAATGGTGAAATGATCTACTCAACAGTACGATGGGGGGTCTCAGAAGTAAACTTTGTAGCAGCCGAATCCGATGAGGTCATAACTTAAATGACGTCGTTTCCAGTTGAATTTGAATGTCGGGGCTTGTGGACACTTGACGACATCACAGGAGCAGGATGGAGGCGTGTTGTGTTTTTTCTGTTGTTTTACTACATCTCAAGAATCTGTTACTTCAACTGTATCAGAATCGGCTGCCACAAACTTTTGAGGCTCCAGAAGTGTTTAGTGGACTCAACCCCCCCCCCTCCATTTCAGTACTTTTGGGTGAACTATCCCTTTAACAGATGTATCCTGTAGAGACAGTAGAATACATCCCAGCATGGTTCTTCTTCTACTGCCTATTGAAACTGTATATGCACACATTTGACTAGCATCACAGACGCTACAGTATAATCATCACATACCAATTTCCTTCAGTTACATTTAACTGTAACCTTCTATCACCAATCACATTTTATTTGTACAGCCCATATTCACAAATCACAGTTTGTCTCATAGATCTTAACAAGGTGTTATTAATGTCTATCAGGTTTTATCAAGGTGTTATTAATGTTGTATGAATGATTCAAAGCAGAAGTGGAAAAATTTTCCAACAATTTATTGTGTGTGTTTGTTCAGGAGGGAGGGGCCTGCTGCATGATGAACGGCAGCAGCAGCAGTGTATCTGCGTCTCAGAGCTCCAGGGTCAAAAGTGAACAAGGTAACAATCA